TGAATCTAACAAGAACGATAACAGGGTTCCTCCCGCCAACGGTGGATAACATGTGATAAGGGGCGCACGACATGATGCACAACAGCCATATCTAAGCTAACGCTAGCTAGACTTTAGTAACACCCATGCCGGCCGGTCAGGATCGGGTTTTCAACTCTCAGCTAGATTGACTTCTTTGTGCTAGCTGCATCATCGGCTGGTCCACTGCACCTTGCGTGCAAAAGACCGAGGCTGGTACGTCGTATGAAGCCCAGAGACCACCGTTCATCATCGTGAAAACAGAAGTGCAGACCACCGACTCGCCAAATACAAAAAGAGCCCAGACCACCGGGATTCCGGGAATCGAGGAACCAAGTTCAGCGAACTCCAGTCTTCAAGAAAAACAGCTGTCAGACTATGATTTTAGCAAGGATTGCGGCGTGGAACACGGTTTTAGCAAGGATTGGTTTGATCGACATTCAGACAGGTGATTGGCCGACTATGGTCAGTGTAAAAGACGCGTCGAACTTTGGAAAGAAAGGTACGTGCGCTCACCAAATCGAAAAGGCTTGGCCTCCCTCCTAATGCTAATTTTCTAGCGACTTTGGAAGGAAAGGAACGGCAGGGTCTCCCGGATCGTCTCCGCACCTTCGTTCATCATCATGGACAAGAAAGCCCTCGATCGATCATGGCCGGCATATCTGGAACCACACGTGTTCTTAGAAGATGATCGAAAGCAGCTAGCCAGCCTCCGTGCTTTGCACTAGCGCCGAGTCTCTCCACCGAGAGCGAGAGTAAAGATTCGACCGCCAAACTAACGTGCGTCACAAGCATGCAGTTAATTAATTGACTCGTCTGGCCGGCCGGCCGGCACTAGCTAGCTCTTCCCTTAGTTTAATTAACGGCGGTCACCCACTCGTTGCGGAGCACGAGAGATTCCATGGCCGATCGGTCCAGGCTCCATGGATGCTCATGGTCGTGGATAATAGGAGTGCGTGGTCTGTGGATGACAACCGGACTCATGCTAATGGTCGGTCGATACACATGTGATAATAGGAGCACGCGCGAATCTGCATGTGCTGGGAGACCGGAGGCGGGGCAACGCGCCATGGTCCATGTGTGAAGGAAGCAGGGTACATACCGGCATGTCCCCCGGAAGAAGGGAGGGACGTCTCCCGGCCGGTCGGTGATCTCTGGCACTCCATGGACCATGGCGTCATGCTCTCGTGCAGCCACAGGCATTGCGCTTGCTTGCACACACGCGATATATGCCACAGCTCAGCTCACCACTCACCGCTCCGCCCAAGACGTTGCGGGGGTGATGACGCCGATGCCGAGCCAGCCTTCTGTCCTGGTCCCAGCCAGCAGGGTTTAGCGGAAGACAAAAAATAAAATCAGTAAGTGCAGAAGTGGGGTATCGATCCCCATACCTCTCGCATGCTAAGCGAGCGCTCTACCATCTGAGCTACATCCCCTTTGATGTTTAATTTGAATCCGTCTTTTATTTTAATGCAGAACATGCGAGAACAAATCAGAGGATACAATTTGGTTGGAACGCAGAAACCAAGCTGAGTATACATGAACAATCTGGCATTATGTGCACCGCAGGCCGGTGAATAGCAATTAAGCTGCTGACTCGCTTGGAACGAGCATCCATCCACTCTAGGCTAAGTGTTGCAAATACTTCAATATTGCGGAGGGCATCTAGCTAAGTGATGGATTGATGCCGGCCATTGTCTATATATAAGCAGATAGTGAAGTGAAGTTCAGACATTTGCTTATACTCTCTATTTTTACCATTTTTGCTGGTCGTTTCGTGTCTTTTTTGTCCATTGCATTGTCTATTCTATCTCTACTCTTATAAAAAACCGAGTTGGTGATGATGGTGTGCCTGCCATCCTGCAATATAGACCGTCCGATCTATATCTGACGGATAGAAAGCAGACTATGGCAATTTTGCTAAAAAGATATCCGTACCCCTCTCCACATTTGCAGATAAGGCCTTCCCTCGTTCATCTTTGTCTCCCACAAGATAAACAATTCGTATAAATGCATCTTGATGTTCCGTGCAACGCATGGGCCTCTTGCTAGTATCGTTTAGAAATGTCAGTTATAAGATGCCCTAAGGATGTCTTTTCAAAAGAGGGAAAAAAAACATCCGTCGTGACTCAGTACACTCTCAAGTAATTTAGTTTTCTCTCCGTCACTGATATTAATTTAACCCAGCTTAACCGGTTAAGGTGAGTTCTAGACCGTTGTATTTTGGGTTAAATTCGACAATATATTTGATTTGCAAAATATCGGTATGTCATAAAAATTATATTACTGATTTGTATTCGCATGAAGTTTACCGCGATACCACTCTTTCTACAGATAACTCATATTTTACTACGCAAATGTATAGCAACTTTGGCTCAAATTGTGAGGGGGGCTAATAAACCCTACGCAAATGTATAGCAACTTCATTTATTACAAGTAATATACTCCGTATGTTCCTAAATATAAGCTTTTTTAGAGATTCCAAAATGGTCTACCCGCGAAACAAAATGAGTGAATCTACACTATAAAATATGTCTATATACATTCGTATGTGGTCTATATTGAAATCTTTAAAGAAACCTATATTTAGGAACGGAGGGAGTACTACAATTTGTAAGATGCCGACTTGTAATAAATGAAGTCAGCTTGTAAGATCTCAACTTCTCATAAATGAAGTCAACTTGTAATGGATGAAGTCAACTCGTAAGATCTCAACGCGGATCTCAGCTTCCAACTTGGTGCCGTTTTTAGCTAGCTAGCCGGATCAGCACTCCATCTATGTATTCAGTACAAGATAGTACAAGTTATACCCACGATTCAGATCTACAGTGCCTACAAGTAGCGTCGTATGTGCACTAGTAAGACATCGCATTTCATCTGCGTGCACAGGTCCTCTTGCTAATGTGCAGATCGATCTTCCTCCCAAACTATAGTTAGCCTTGCGTGAACAGCTCGATCCACAACACAACAATGGCTCCGCGTTCAGCCGCTCTCGCTCTCAAGGCAGCCGCCGTCGCCGCCATTCTCGCCATGCTGGTTGCGCCTTCTTTGGGGCGCTGCGGTCACCCTCAGGCACCGGCGCCGGCAACGCCACCTCCGCCACCACCACCACCACCATCTCTGGCTCCAGCGCCGGGACCTGGGCCTGGGCCAACGATATCGTGCAACGACTGTTTTTCGCAGTGCTACTCGCCATGTGAAGCCTCCATTGCCTCGAACTGCAGCAGCTACTGCGACGGCATTGACTATACATGCAACTCCTGCAAGATGGACGTGATCGAGGGCTGCAAGAAAGCAAACAACTGCACCGGCAGCTGCGACGAGTGCAACTTCGACCCTAGCCCTTCGTGCGTCAGCCCCTGCACCACCCGGTACTGCGACCTCTGCCGGTACGGGTTGGAGCAGCAGTGCCGGGAAACCTGTCAGAAGGAGTGCTCTGCGCCTAAATGCGTACCATGGAGCCCTCAGAACTAGATAGTATCATGTGTTTGTTGTATGCCCACCGTGTCTGCCGGTGCATTCATCTGCATCTATGTATGCAGTGTGTACTAGATGATGTGACACTGAATTTGTATTATTATTTTTTCGCAAATACGTAAAGCTCACGTATCATTTCATCTATCACCACTATAAAAAAAAAAGAGGGGCAGATCCAAACAATCACATCCATCCATCATCATAATCTAATGGTCCTTAATTATTCTGTGTTTAACACTACCAACCACGCAATAAAGCCACAATCGATCTATCGCTAATCTGCCCCGCAGTAAAAAGAAAGAGCAATGCTACACTTACGTAGATCATCCTACGTAATTAACGTAAAGGCCCAGCTGGGATTCTCTG